TGTGAATATTCGCACTTGCATGGGAATATTTCTCAGTATGCCTGTCCTATTAGGCAGACGTGTTTGTTTAAATATTGGAGGAAAACTGTTACAAAGATTCTGTGGCTAGGAAAAAATAAGCCCATTTGGTTTAAAAAGTAAACATTTTTCTGCATGCCATTTAATTTTATGAATATCTAGTGGAAATTCAGTAAGAAAGGCAGGCTTATAAAATTGCTACAATAGTTATCAGCTTTCTCTTTTTGTGTGTGATCTCTTTCTTTCACAGTTGCTACCTTCTATATGGCTAACTTTTTTTTAAATATATATGTTAAAATTTGTTACCAGAATGAAACATGTATCAGATATAAGCAGTTAAAAAGTGTCTGAATGAATGAATACAAATATAGGTGAGGATGGGATTACTGAGTGGGACTAACGTTAAAGTGATCTCTATTTTTTGTGTAATAAACAGCTGGCCAAAAATATTAAACCTGAAAAACAGTTATAGCTACAGACTTCTTAAACATAAGACTGTCAATATCAGTTCATGTTCTGTCATAACACACTGTTGTTAATCATAAGTAATTTAGACTACTTTACTAAAAATCTTTAATGTATTAATTAACTCTCTAACTCCCCAAGCCTATCATTTCATTTCTCTTTACTGCTGAAGTGTCAGAACATTTTCTCTCAAACGGATTATTTGGGGTTTCTTTAATCCCATTTCAGAAAACCTGGCCTAGCACTGTAATTTCCATTGACTCTAACATGGATAGAATAGATGCAACTTTGATATGGGTAATGGTGAAAATCAAAGTATTTTATTACACTGTCGCTGCAATAGATTACACAGAATTAAACTTTGCCATTGCAGGGATGGGGGGGGGAGTGTCTTTTTTCTTGTCTTGTTTATGGTTTGCTTTACCTACAAAATATTTAGTTATGGTTTGAATTATGACATGCCTTATTAAATATTCAGGGTTTATTAATCTTTTGCTTGTGGGACAGAAGAAGAGCTGGACTTTAAGATACAGATGATTCCTCTGCACATTTCTGGGAGGTGGGGAGATGGATAGCTTGAGGGAGAAATGCATCTTTCCTGTGAGTTGGCACATTATTTGAAATCATGTTTAATTATAAAGTTTCATTAAAAATCTTTTGCTTAAAATTTTAGAAGCCTAATAAGATTTCCATTAATTTAAACATAGGACTATTCCCACAACGGCCCAAATGCTTTCTTTTTCCTCTTTCATCCATGGTTAAATATGTAAATAAAATGTCTAAAGTCATTCTTCAAAGAAGACAAAAGAAAAAAGCGCTGAGGGAAAAGACAGCCATAAAATTCCTCCCAATTCTCCATAACATTTGCCAGAGGGGGGCCAACTCCTAGCCAGGGCCTAGCAGCAGGGGTGCCTGGCTGCTCCATAGAATCACACATCTCAAATCCCACACACAGGAGAAAAAAATAAAATAAAATATCTTTTCAGCTGGAGCCATCAAAAGGTTCCTTTCATTTATTAGTTACAGAGGTATCTTCCAGTTGCTGATTTCTCAGCGCTCTCATTTTTCTATAATAATGTTCTGTTTGTTAGTTTCACTGACTGAAGCTCGTTGAATGGGAGATAGCCCTAGATAGCTCTTTAAAAATATAGAAAGTAAAATAAATGATCTAAAGCGGAATGCATTGCCTAAAATAATGGCTAGAAAAACAAGGCTGATTTAAATTGGCACATAAAAGATCAATTACAAGAGACACAACTGCAAAGGTTGGGGGTTCCCCCCCCATTTTTTTCTCACTTTCATTTGTATTTCTTTTTGCCTCTTAGGAGAAAAAGGTTGCTATCACTGCTGTAGAAGAAAACAGGATGTGTTTTATTTCACGTATTTTTTCTAGATTAATGTGAACGGTGATATAATATGCTTTTCAAAAATACTTGGGAAAAACAAAAAGAAAAACAAGCTCCCAAACAATCAAGTTGAACAAAACAAATATTGAATACGTTCCTCTTACGCATTATTTAAATTCTACTTTTTATTATTATTCAAATTCTACTTTTTAAAGTAGAATTTACTCGTCCCTTGTAAAAGCTTTCCCCACACTTCCCTACTACCCCCAACTGAGCTCTCTAGAAGAGGAATCAGGATGCATACAAATACTAAGAAAACAGGCTTAGATTAATGAAGAATGGAAATGCCCCAACACACACTCTCTCTCACACACATACATACACACAGACACACTAAAATAAATAAAGCTTTTTTTGCACATAACACTGCCTGCTTTTGTAACATTCCCTAAGGAATCTAAAAGCGCCCAAGGAAAGGTCAGCCCCTAAGACCAATACTTTATAAGTATAACCTCCTCAATCCACTGAAAAGCCACAAAAAGAAGGACTACTGTTTTAAAGCATTTTTATGATGGCTTTTACTTCTGGGCAAAAACTAGCCACATCTTCAGGGTTTTCAAAGACAAACATTAGCCCTGGTTTGTTGTCCTTGCTTGGATCCATTTCACCCTTATCACAATTGAGGAAGCCAACAGTTTCCTTTCTAGAGCCTGGTGGGGTATTAACTCTGACCCTGCGGGATTTGGTAGTTTCCAGGAGAATCCGTGTTCATTTCGATAAGAAACAGGCACTAATGGAGAGGAGCCCGGTTTGTGTGGGTGAGCATGAATGAAGGGGAAGAGAGATTTTCCTTCTTCATTAATATGTTCGCTAAAACTAAGCTCAAAGGGGGGGGGGGAAGTAGAGCTAATCTTTTGACTTCTGATCACAGTGCTCCTTTTCGGTCTGTAAAATCGTGAATTACAGTTTGGCTTGGGATTTAACTTCCTCCTTCTAGCTCTGATAGACCAATAAGCAAAATAAATCTCGAAGCTTAACTTAAAAAGTAAACACAACTCACTTCGGAATGATCTCCGTCTCCAAAATCTGTATCTTTTCTATAGTGGATGAAGTAACTTTCCCAAGGGTACCCTCTAGTCCTCTTAGGGTTTCTTATTTAAGGAAAAGAAAAGAGGGGGGGGGGGGGGGAAAAAAACTTTTTGGGGGGGGGGGGAAACAAGCTACTTTTTGAGTGATGCCATACTGTGATTAAAAGCACAATCAGGTACTTCTTCAGCAATCCTGCCTGCCCTGTTCATTTAGGAATTCGAGGCAAAGCACGACATTTGAAAACAGCTGAGATTCCAGGCTGGAAGCAACCATATTTTATGACCCTGGCAGCGAAGAGTTTCTAGCACTCGCCATAAAATGCATCCTCCTCCCCACATCCTCCCTGCTAAAGCATTGCCCCCCCTCCAATAAAGGCAGTCGAGGAGGCACCACCTTCAACCCTCTGATTAGGAGACACGAAGTCTGAAGCGGTCGCTCTCCCTGGCTTCCTACCTGAGCGAGGGAGGTTAGGCTGACGCCTTCTAGAGACAAGATCTTGTTAAACTTTCAAGGGAGGGCAACGGGAGGGAAAGGAGAAAGGAAGGAAAGACAGAAGGAGAGAGAAACAAATGGGGCTTTTTCCAGTCTGTGCTGATCAAGGAAAACCTGTAGGGGTCCTTAAGGAGGTTTCAAGGCGTTCCGAGTGATTGGAAAGTAATCACCGTGTCAGCTTCACCTTTCTCATGCAAAGTGGATGTCGTATGCAAGGCGGATCCTGCACAGGGTTGGGGTGGTTTTGTTTTTTTTTTTTTAATTTATCCTTGGACTCAGCCGCCCCCTAAAAACCCCAGCTGCTCCAGCCCCAGGAGTTCCTGCTAACGCGGGGGGAGCGGAGCGGGCACACAGACAACACACACACACGAGCCAGCCCTGCTCTGCAAAAGCGCAGAAGAGCCGACCTATTGCAAACCCAGACCAGAGGGCGGCGAGAAGGGGGGGGGGGATTTTTCAGGCCCCCCTCTTCAATGGGTTAGATATTTCCTCCTCCTCCTCCTTTATTCTACGCTCGGATAAACCAATCCCCACCTCTCGGCAAGAAAGTACGGAGCTGTGACCCGTTCTAGGAAGAGGAAAATCCCTGGAGGAACCCGCTGCACCAAAAAGCCGAACGGGACATGTGCAAGTTGAAGCGGTGATCGCTCGGATCTGCCCAGACCCAAACTACTCCGGCATCGCTCTGCCTGTGCTTCGAGGAAGCAGCAGCGGGGAGGAGGAAGAGGAGGAGGAAGGGTGGTGGAAAGACGGATCGCAAAAGTGGAAGCCCGGGGAAAAGAAAGTTGCCGGGCTCCCCGCAGTAAGTTTTGCGCATCTGTGGATTGGGGGTACTTTTTCTTTTCCTGGTTGCTTGCGGAGTTGCCTGCCCACCTCCCT